GAGGATCTAGGGGTTCAAGAAAACACGGAATTTAAAATAAACATTCCATTTGATGAATTAAAGAATTACTTGTCTGAAGCAACAATCGGTCTGCATACCATGTGGAACGAGCATTTTGGAATTGGTAAGTTTGTCCTTTAAACATGTTTGGTGTCATGTGGTTTTGATAAAATGATAACACTCTGAAAGTTTTCATCAAGTCCCTGTTCTCTTCCCCGAGTCCCCCAGGTGTGCTGTCCTCATCAGAAACCCTAAAACATGTTACATATGTTTATTGGCCACTCACTGTTGTGGGGGTCACTCTCAAGGTCTTTACAAGTATTACCTGATTTAATACTCTCTACAACTTTACTTGATAGGTATTCTTATTATTTCTGTGTTATAAACTCAGACACAAAGAGGTTTAGAACTTGCTCAAGGTCAGTAAGAAGTAGAGCCCAGATTCTAATCCAGACATCCCTGCTCTCCCCAAACCTATCCCTATCTCTGCGCCGGTGCAGATTCCTGGGCCTCATCCTAATCCTGCTGAAGGGCCGAATCAGCATCTCCGGGTGCGGCCCCGGTGCAGGTGTTTTTGTAAAGCCCCTCAGGTGACTCTGTTGTGCACCAGGAGCTGAGACCGTCTGTCTCCAGGTGGGCTCCCCTCGGTCGTTCTTTGGGTTCTTTTATTGATTCCGTGCTCCTTACTGCAATGGCCCCAGGTGTTCAGTTTGGACACTGTGAATGGTGATGGCTTCGCTGAGAGAGGGAGCCAAAGACAGAGGCCCAGTTTAGAGCAGGTGGAGTAGGAGTTGGCTGAGGCACGTGGAAGGGTGTGCGTCCAGCAGGCGGTGGTATTTGTGAGTCCAAAGTGCAGGAGAGGGACCTGGTCTGGGAACACAGACTGAGGGTTGTCCTCGTCTGTGGTTGTGCAGCCTGTGGATGGGGACGAGGCGGCCTCGGAGAGTCTGTAGAGGGAGAAGAGGCCCAAAGTGCAAAATGCTGAGGGCAGTGACAGTTCAGCAGCGGGCAAGAGAGGAGCCGGTGAAGAGGAGGAGGAGGAGGAAAACCAGCCAGAGCAGCATTGTGGAAACCAAGGGAAGGGAGGGTTTAGGGAAGGATGGGACGGACAACAGATCCTGTGCTGCCCAGCTGCTGGGCAAGGTGAGGACGGGGCAGGCAACCTGGCAGGAGACCAGTCAGGAGCAGCATCGATGCAAGAGTGGGCTCAGGAGTCCAGGTGCGGCGAGCTGAGCACCGAGTACAGATGAGCAAGTGGAGTTAGTGATGCAAACCACACTGGCCATGAGTGTACCTGTGAAAGGGAGGGGAGGACTTGGGACCTGAAAGGCAAGGGTAGGGGGGTGCACATGCTCGTGCACTTTGTTTTTATGAGTTTGAACTAGCTTAAGTGCTGATAGGAAGAGGCCAGTAAAGAGGGAAAAGTAGAAGATTCCGGAGGGAGAGGGTAAAATCGGTAAGATCGAGGTCTCTGGGAAAGCACAGAGGAATGGTATCCAGCCTGGAACAAAATATTATGGTATAATCCATATTTTTTAAATAAGAGTTCAAATTAAAGCCTCAGCAGAAAATTCTGTTCTATAGAGATTTCACCAGTGTTAAAGAAACACTGGTAATGATTTAACTTCCCTCCTGTGCAGCTAGGATGGTAACAGCTCTGTACTATCCTTTGGAAAAGTAAGAAAACAGCCAACTAAACCATTTTCTGAAGGGCTTAGTCCTCACTAGAAACATGGGTAAGAAAGTCTGGCTGGAATAATTTATATCCTCACCTACATTATGTGGCAGAAACTGATCAGAACTTCCATGAGGTTCAGCACTGCTGTTGGGCACACAGTAGTCTCAGATTTGCCAGAAATCCAGGCAGTAACATAGACACCAGCCTTACTTAGTGTGCCTCACTAGAGTGGCTTACTTTTTTCCTCTTTTCTCCTAATACTGTAATTTGAACTCTTAAAATTGTATTTTTGATATCTTTCTTATTCCTTTTATCTTTTAATATCCATTAATTACTACCATCTTGCTAATAACATTCTTTAGTCTTCTCTTTATCATCTGCAGTATATCTATTTTTATAGACTATTCTATCTACTTGTCTGTTTTAATAAAGAACAAAGCAACATTATTGTGAAGCTCTGAAAACTAAAAAACTTAAAATTATTTTATTTTGCACCAGGGAAGTTAAATGAGTCCATTTGCAGACATGCAGACATTTACTTGAATGGCTTATGAGTCTCAGAATTTGTTAAGGGTTCTGCTCATCCTTGTTCTTATGAACACAGTTAAAACCTTAACAACGTGATTTCTGTTTCTTTCTAAGGAATCGTAGAGTGTATGGCAGCCGGCACAATTGTCCTTGCTCACAATTCGGGGGGCCCGAAGCTTGACATTGTCATTCCTCACGAAGGCGAGAGGACCGGATTTCTGGCTGAGAGTGAAGAAGGCTATGCCGAGACCATGGCCCAGGTTCTCTCCATGTCCGCAGAGAAGAGACTGCAGATCAGAAACAGTGCCCGTGCATCCGTCAGCAGATTCTCCGATCAGGAGTTTGAAGTAACATTCCTCTCGTCTGTGGAGAAATTATTTCAATAATGCCATATCTGTACAAGTTAAAGACATTTTATGTCAAATGGTTAGGTACCGTTATATGTTACTATTTTTCTAAACTCATTCCGTATTGTCGTAAAGTTAGTCTAAGCAAGGCCGTAGCAGTATGTGTATAGGCAAGGTATTTATGTCAGTGAAAAAGGCAAAGTTACCTAAATGGAAACGGTACCCTTGTATAGTTTTAAGTGTGAACATTTTAGATGAGTGTTTGGTCTCAAATTCTGAAAAATATGAAAGAAAAAAATGAACAATCCTAATTTTGGTATGATCTATATTTTTAAAGTTCTATTTGTCACATCACTTTACTTTAGAAACCAGGAAAGAGATTTTCCTTTTAGAAAAAAGGAAATGGAGGTGGGGAATGGATGACTGATAATTGATTAGCACTTCAGAATTGTTTTGACATTTTTGGAACACAGCAAAATTCTGGTACATTTAAATTCAAAACATTTGGTACATTTAAATTCAGAACAATATCATGGATAAACTTTTTGAATATATCTAATGATTTTAAAAGAACAACGAAACTTTAAGCGGGCTCAATCATGTTCTAAAAGCATATAGTCCAAAGAGACGCTGACTGATTGCTCAGTAGGTATGCGTAGGCGTGTAGAGGCCGGTAATCCTTTCTGTAACTAGGTATTTGTGAAAATAGTGTTCAGTTTAGTGCTGCCAATACGTTTTTATGGGCCTCTCATTATCCGTTAACATTTTCACATCCCAGAGGCTGGAAGTCAGCTTTTTTAGGTCATTCAAGAGGCCTGAGTCAGAACATCACCGTAAGTTGTTTTCTGACAGTGGTGATGCAGGATCCGGATCCATCCACGTGGTCTCCATAATCAGCATCGTGCATCGTAAGATGACGAGGTGGCATCTTGAGAAGAGCAATGGGCTAGCAGTTAGAATAGCTCGACCTGACCTCACCTTCATCGTTTACAAACATCCGACCTTGTGACACGAGAGCTGCTTCCAGATCTTTTGAGTCTCAGCTTCTTTCTCTGTAATCTGGAGATGGTTGTGGGTGTCCTCACTGCCTTCCATCATTGTACTGAAGACATGGAACATGGAAAGTATGTGAAAATACTTTGAAAGTTATAAAGGTGACTTTAATGAAAGGTAACAATATATAGAAAATGTCTTATGTGATCCAGTCTTTATCTGTAAATTCTTGGTTACTAAGCCAGTAGCTCAGAATCAGTGTAATTTAACTGGACTCATGTCCTGAATAACTAGCATGGAAAAGTGAATAAATATGTGTGCAGATATGGCTCTTGAGACCTACAACTTTTGGTACTTTCTGCCTACATAATCAGTTCCGTCTAGTTCAGTGACTGGACCTCCTTCACAGTCTGATACCCCTTGTGTGAGGGGCTTGTGAAAGAAGTGCATTTTCCTTTCAGATCTCCTGTCGCCCATTCATCAGTCCAGCCAGCTTCATTATCTGCTTCCAGGTACATCACTGGATTTGTCTGAAGGCCGTCTTCTGTCATCAGATCGAAAAGCAGCAAAACAGAGCCCCAGGATGTTCTGACATGCCAGCCTAGCGTAGCTTTGTGTTGGAAAGTACTCAATTTAGAAAAGAAAAAGAGTCCCTCAAACATCACCAGGAAAGTAAAGGCATAAAAGATGGGACACATCCTGCTTAGGGAAATCCTGATACTTGGATTGCCCACATTTAATAAAATTATACCAAATGTAAATACTAAGCAAACCTTAGGAATAATCTGACCAGCCCCTCATCATCTTTATTTTCTTGGTTCAGCAATGTATCAATGTGCCATTTTAGTTTGTTTTCATTATAGAGCAGATATTTCAGGCAGAATTCTACAACTTAGAAATATAACTAACTATTCTGTCCTTCATAACAGCAGATACAGTAAGTCAGAGAATATCTACTAAGCCCCAGGCACATGTTCAACACTGGGATTGTTATAATAAAAAAAAAACTTTAAGTCTAGGTTCCTGCCTCAAAGAGCTTATAGTCTTAATGAGGAAATTGTATTAATATTTATTGAGTCAAGAAACATTTCTGGCACTGGGCCTTTAAGCACTATATATAAAAAGACCATCATAAGAAATGAAGACCAGATGCAGTCCCTACCTTCAAGAATTTTATAATCTATACATTTGAAATTGTTAGAAAAGAATTCAATGGAACATAATAAAATGATTATTTGGTACATAATTGGCATGCCTTGTTCCTCTCCTTGCTCAATTACCTTACTCTTGTAAGCGTCTACATCAGCTTCAAAAAAGTGTATTCAGTGTGCCTTAAGAAATTTCAAAACCACAGTTTTATAAAATGACAGATTCATTATATTAAATGAGTGAATTTGTACATTGTATTAGTTTTCTATGGCTAACAACAAATTACCACAAACTTAGTCAAAACAACACAAATTTACTATCTTACAGTTCGGTAGCTCAGAAGTCTACAGTGGATCTCACGAGGCTAAAATCAAGGCGTTGGCAGAGCTGCATTCCTTCTTCAAGCTTTAGGGGAGAATCCGTTTCCTTGCCTTTCCCAGGTTCTGGAGGCTGCCTGCATTCTTTGGCTTGTGGCCCCTTCCTCTGTCTTAAAGCCAGCAGCATCAGACTGAATCCCTCTCAGCTGCCACCTCTCTGATTCTCTCTTCTGCCTCCCTCTCCCATTTCATGCTTGTGCTTACATTGAGCCTACCTGATAACCTCCCTATTTTAAGGTCAGCTGATTAGCAACCTTAAGTCCACCTGCAACCTTAATTCCTCTTTGCCTGGTAAAAATATATTCATATCTTTGGGTGTGTTTGGGTTGAAGGGAGTCACATTACTCTGCCAACCACACATATCTGAAAGATTTCTTTTTTGTTGTTGCTTTTTTTGTTGTTGTTTTTAGGGGGAGGTAATCAGGTTTATTTATTTACTTATTTATTTTAATGGAAGTATGGGGGATTGAACCCAGGACCTCATGCATGCTAAGCACACGCTCTACCACTGAGCTACAGCCTCCCCACTAAAGGTTTCTTAACAGAAATGTTAAAGTAAAAATATTAATTTCTACACTCAAAAGTCAGTCCTATTGTCTAAATTGAGAGAAAAACTAATAAAGCCTTGGGATTACTGGAAAACCCTTACAATAAATGAATATTTATGACTTGCACCCAGAGACACTATAGTCAATAGATACCAACATTACTTTCAAAAAGTTCAGTAGTCACACTTGTGTATTTTGACTGGTTGTTGATATTCCTTGGTCTTCATCAACAGTACAGATTTTGTCATTAGATAGAGCAGAAATATTCTCCAAACCTTCATTTAATTCTGCATACTTGTGTATGCTTATCCCCTCTCTTTTCTCTAAGTTCTCAGCATCCTTAGAGGAACCAGTAGCCACTTCTCTTTCTTCTGCCTCTTTGGAAGCAGCAAGTTTTTCCAAGGATTCTACTATTTCATTTCTCAACTCATCTTCAGATTCTTCAAAATTTCTGAAATAAATAGTAAAAATCAACTTTGTGATGTCAAAATACTAACAAATACATGTGAAAATTAGTTTCACTTCTCCTGCCCTACCCACACTTGAGCAATATGAAAGTTGCATTTTCTTCCAGGTAATAAATTATTGTATCAATCTGGTTTTTCCTAAGGATGATGAACAACCAATGTTGAGAGAATCAGTATTCTGTTTAGTTGGACTTGTGTTCAATAACCTTTATTTTATCTATTAATACGCATCTATTATGTTTAAAAGAAGAGGAAGAAAGAGAGAAAAAGAAAATAATAAAAAATGGCTGCCATATATTGAGTCTTTACCATATGCCAGTCACCCCCCTAGAGCACTTTACACATACTGTATTTCATCAGATAATAACAACACTTGAGGTGGACATTACCATCCTTGATTGATAAGTAATCTGAGCTAAAAGAGGTTTAAAAAAAAAGTGCCCAAGGTCTCACAGCTACTAATTAGTAGGACCAGGAATTGAAATTGTGTCTAAGACTGCAACACTGATGCTTTTAGGTAACAGAAATAAAGTTTTCAATAAATGGTGTTGGAATAAGTCAGGAGTTACTTGGGAAAAAAACAAGTTGGAGTCACACTTTGCAGTTATGAGTAAATAGAAAACTAAATCATAAAAGTACTTAAAAAAATTTCAGTATCATTTTTATGAAATAATTGATCAATCTAAGGTAGATAGAAATAAGAAATTTCCACATGGCACAAGTCAATATAGATAAAATCAAAAAGCAAACAAAAAAACTGGAGAAAATATTCTTGAATCATACTACAGATAAAAGACTAATTTCCCTAAAGTACAAAAAGTTCCCCAAGTCAAAAAAATATTAATAGCGTAAATTTTTAAATGGCTCAAGTTATGTGCAAAATTGTTTTTCCAAAGGAAGAAATAAAGATGGGTCTTAAAAGCATATAGAAAGACAACCTCACTCACAAAAGAATTGCTAATTAAAATTAACCTGAAATGTCATTTTTTAACCTATCAACTGTGCAATAATCCATCAGTTCGGTAACACACTGAGCAAGGAAATGTACAAGGAAACAGGCACTTCCATACCCTGTCGGTGGAAGTGTTCATAGATGTAACCTCTGTGAAGGACAACGTCACAGTATCCAATTACAAATGTAGATACTCTTTGACCCCAAACTTTGCTGTTCTGGGAATTTAAACTATATGTATACTACTATTTGTATATTATGATATGTATTCAAGATACACTGTTAAGTAATAAAAGAAAGTTGCAGGACAGTATGCACACCATGAAACTTCCTATTAAAAAAAGCAACACACTCACATACACAGGATAGATATATTTGCTTACATTTTAATGGAATTCCTTAGAAGTAGGCTCAAGAAGCAGGTTAGATTGGTTGACTCTGGGGAGGGGAATTGTGTGGCTGAGGTAAAGAGACAGCAGGAGACTATGAAAAGAGTGTAACTTTTGAATTTAGAACCATGTGAATATATTACCTACTTAAAAAGTCAATTATAATAAAAATTTTTTTTAATTTAAAGGACTTCAAATTTTAGAACTAATAAGAGAGTTCAGTGAGGTTACAGGATACCACGTCAATAGTGTTCTATACACTAGCAGTAGCCAAGTTGAAAACAAAGCAAGAGAAAAAAATGCCGTTCATAATGGCAACAACGAAAAAATTAAGTGACAACTATATCACGAAGAAAACTACAAAAATACTAAAGAATATTTTAAAAGGCGTGAATAGATGGAGACCTATACTAAATTCATGGATGTTGACATTTATAATCATGAAGATGTCCATTCCCATAAATTAATCAAAAAATGTAATGTCATTCTCATCAAAATTCCAATGAAGTTTTTCATGACACTTCACAAAAGAATGCAAAAATGTGTATGTTGAGTGAAAAGCAGCAATTGCTAAGATTATTTTGAAGAAAATGATATGGAAACTAGGTGTGAGGACTAGCCCCTACCAAATATCAAAAGGTACGGTAAAGCCACAGTAATTCAGATAGAATATCGTTGCTGCAGAGATCGAAAACAAAACCACTGGAAAAGAATGAAGAGCTAAGAGACACATCTGTGTATACAGGAAAATTTGGTCTCCTTAGCTAGGTCTTTGAGGCCATCTTCTATGTCTCAACAACAGCGTTGTAACTTTTTACCACTTTTACTATATCCAGTGCTTCGGTTAGGCACCTGGGTATGACCTACTTACGTATCATCATCATCAGATCTTGGTTCTGGTTGTTCTTCATCTACCTCGATGTCAGAGGCCACTGCCACCTTCCCCTCATCTTCTTCAGGAAGCCATGGTTTTAATGTTCCCACTGTTAAATGACAGGAAGAGAGATTAAAGCATCCCGGCCTATACACCTCATGAGGGGCATATATCAAAAATTCTGCACTGAACGTCAACCACAACGGCAAAACCTTTGAATAATTTCCATTAAAACAGGGAGTAAGACAGGGATGACAGCTGACACCAACTATTCCATATTGTACTGAAGGTAGCAGACAACAAAGACAAGAAAAAGAAGTGAAAGAAATAAGGATCAGAGATGAAGAGACAAAATAATCCCACTTTGGGGGTAGATGCTTTTTATAAAAGCATATATATTTCTT